CTCTACATTAGCATCAGTTTCTTGGTACTGCAGGCATAGCTGAGCAGTTCCTTTCAAATACCGAAAAACACGCTTGACCGCTGTTAGATGTGCCTCGGTCGGTGATGAGTTGAATTTAGCCAATGCTGCCACTGCGTAGGCTATGTATGGACGAGTAGCTATCGCCGCGTATATCAAACTCCCTACCATCGACTGGTACTGAACGACATCCACTGGTTTGCTATATCCATCGTCCTTAACTAGTTTTATGTTAAGATCTATTGGCGTTGATACCGTTTTGCAATCTTGTAATTTGTACTTTCGCATAATCTTACCAATGTACTGTTCTTGACTGATTTGCAATACACCGTCCTTTATAGTAACACTAACTCCTAGACAGTAGTGGAGTACACCCATATCCTTCATCTTGAAGTGGTTTGCCAGACCGGTCTTGAGATCGATCATCTCTTCTTCAGTATCCGTTAAAAGTATCAGGTCATCAACATGAACAGTAACAATCGTCAGCTTATCCTTGAGGACACGAATGAATACACATGGATCTGCAACACTCTGAACAAATCCCAGTGATAACATAAATTCTTTGAAGACGTTATTCCAACAGCGCGGGCTTTGCTTCAGGCCATAAAGCGATTTCTTGAGGCGACACACTAGCCCTTCTTTTCATGGTTCTACATAGCCTTTGGGCTGTTGCATATATATTTCCTCGTCCAAAGTACCGTTTAGGAATGCTGTTACTACATCCATTTGATGGATGAACATTTGTCGAGAAACACCAAAAGCCAGAAGAGCAGGGATTGACGAAAAACGAACCACCGGAGAGAATGTTTCATCATAGTCAATTCCGTATTTTTGCAGGAAACCTTTAGCTACCAGACGACCTTTAAATCTTTCTACCTTTCCTGTCTCATTGTGCTTGACTTTGAAAACCCACTTGCAACTGATAGGCTTATGTCCAGCTGGCAGTTCAACTAACTCCCAAGTCTCATTCTCTAACAAAGACTGGTATTCAGCATCTGCTTTCCACTGTGTTGCATATTCACTGTCAAGAGCGTCCTTTAACGTTTCTGGCTCTTCGATTTCAGCTACATAAAGTGCTGCATATTTCGCTGTAGTGATTGTAGCATACTCGTCGTGGTAGTACATTGGTGGATTTTCTCTCGTCCTGAGCGTCGAGGATCCGTTGGGAGATCTTGCTGTTCATCCACGGTTATCACATCTTTGCCCTTTAATTGCATTTCTTCTTCAGCGCATTCAGTACTGCCTTCGTCGCACTTCATTTGAACTTTTGTAGACCCAAAGTCTGTTTCATTAAAGGTTATATCTCTGCGAATGAAGATTCTTTGTCGATTTTCATCATATAGCCTGTAGCCGACAAATCGCAGTCGTGTGATGACTCGATTTCTTACATAGGCCGCATTGCAAACTGCTTCTGCCCAGAAAGCTTTGGACAGTCCAGCATGCAGAATCATAGAGAGAGCTGCTTCTTGAAGTGTTCGGTTCATGCGCTCAGCTACCCCATTCTGCTGGGGTGAATGTGGCACTGTAGTCTCATGGCCAATTCCTTTCTTCTTTAGAAAATCTTGGAACTCGGTGGATGTGTATTCACCATCATTGTCTGTCCGAAGCGTCTTAATCTTGCATTCTGCCTGGTTTGTCACAGCTGCCTCCCACTCCTTGAATTTTTCCAACACTTCAGACTTATACTTCATTGGGTAAACCACTAGTGACACATCTGGAGTAATCATCGATGAAGGTGACGAAGTACTTTGCACCTCTACCCAACTCTAACCTTCTCGTTGACTTAATTTCTCGTTGACTTAATTTCTCCCACTGGCTTAAATGGGGCTCGGTGAGCCTTTCCTTCAGCACAGGCCTCGCAAAAACTTAACTTGCCAGTTCCGGGTATGTCCGTACCTGTAATAAGTTCCTTTGAAGCCATGATGTTCATGTGACCGGCATTTAAATGCGGCATTCTTTGGTGCCACAGATCCAGTTTGGCACAAGGTTCATTAGCAATTGATGCTCGGTTTCCATGTTTGTCAACTTTGCAATCAAGACAGTACATGTTCCCAACAAGTCGACCACGAGCTACAACTTGTCCCTTCGAATCCTTAATCCAACAGAGGGTGTGGCCAAATTGCACCACCTTGCCTTTAGATGCTGCTGCACGTGCACTAAAAAGATTTGTAGCTAATTTTGGAACATAGAGTACCTTTGTTAGAATTGATTTCCATTGGTCTTTCTCTTTATTTCCAAGTATCATAGTGATGTCTACTTGTCCATATCTGTACGCATTAACAGAACGACCTTCACCAAGAGCAACAGGTTCTGGTTCAGGGAATTCACAATAATTTACCAATAAGTCACGATTAGTAGTCATGTGCTGCGAAGCACCGGAGTCGATTATCCAACAACTATTCCCTTCAGCTGCAATCAATCCTACTACGAATACATTACCCCCAGAATCCTCGTTCCTTTTCCCATCAGCATCTGCTGGAGTTGCTTTATGTTTGTATGAATTTCCCTGTTTATTTCGGTTTTCATGCTGCCCTTTCTTTTCAGACAATTTCTGATCACATGATTCTCTTCCCCGCATCCAAAGCACTTGATAGGCTTTCAACTTGTCTTTTCATGCCGTAAGGCAGTTTCACCCTTGTCGACTCGACCACCACCATCTTTGCCCTTGTGTAAGCCACGTTTTTCTTCTTCACTTGTTAGTGCTTGATGCACTTGAGTTAGGCTAAGCTCGTCTCCTTTTGCAGTCAATGCAGTTGTTAGAGTGTTATATGATCGTGGAAGGCTGAGTAACATGGCTACGATATGTTCATCTTCAGGAATAGGCGCCTTGATGGCTGCCATTGGTCAGTAATTTCTTTCATGTGGCGTAGATGATCATCGAGGGAATCACAATCTTTTATTTTCAAAGAAAAGAATTTCTGCTTCAAAAACAATTTGTTTGCTACAGTGTTTCTTTCAAAACGTTCCTTCAGTTTGTCCCAAATTTGAGATGTACAAGATCCGAATTTATACTCGTAACAAGTAGAGCTTTGGTCTTCTTCTGAGCCTTTTCGAAAGCTGTTTGAGCTGATGAACTTGATGAACTGCTTTCTGATAAAGCCGGGCTTGGTTGCCATTCCATCAACGTGACCCCACAACTCTCTAGCTTCCAATATAACCTGCATTTGATATTTCCATACTTGCCAATTTTTAACTCCCTCTAGTTTGTCGATAAATAACTTGTCTTCTTGAGCCATTTTGAACGTTTAAATCCAGCAGAAGTTTCTTTGATTAATAACACGCAGTTCAGAGAGTGTCTGGGCCCATAACCTGTTCAATTTAGTTTATAATTTTAATATAAATCTTCAGAAAACAATATAAACTTTATATTTATATCTCGAGCACACAAACGTGAAACGTAACACGAATGTACAAAACTTGAGCCCGCGATAAACAATGCGGTTATTAATAAGAACACAGCTAACCCAATATCAATTAAAACGTTAAAACGTTTCTAAACTGTTGAGCGCTATTTACAACATATTCAGTACCAAGATCAATCACTCGTCATCAGGAAGAAATCAAAGCTGTAGAGCTACATGCATTCAGTGACGCCTCTATAAAAGGAGTTGGAGCGGCTGTTTATTCAGTGGTTCATCAACCTTCTGGAACCACTCAACAACTTGTAGCAGCGAAAGGTTGTCTTGCCAAGAAAAACTTAACAATACATAGGCTTGAACTGGTTGGCGCGCACATGGCTACTAACCTACTTATCAATGTACGAAACGCCCTTGATAATATCCCAACACCACAACTATTCGGGTGGATTGACAGTACAGTTGCCCTACATTGGCTTAAAGGGAACGGTCAGTAAAGCGGATACGGATACAGTTACACAAAGAGATTCATTGGAGATATGTTGCCCACAAGTGATAATCCCGCTGACCTGGCAAGCAGGGGTGGTCAAATTAAACAGAAAGTGCTTTGGGAGAATGGTGCAAAATGGCTTCAAGACAAGAGTGAGTGGCCAGACAGTCTGGTGACGAAAGCTTCACCATCCTCAGAGATGGAAGCAAAAGCAACAAAAGAACTATTAAATGTTGTAAATGTCAAGGACAATGCCGACCAATTCGATCGATTACTGGAATGCCTAAACTTAAGACGAGCCTGTAGAGTTGGGGTGTGTAGAGTTGGGGTGTGGATCAAGAGGTTCATACACAACTGCAGAAATAACAAAGGAAGGTCAGGGCCAATCACAATGGAAGAAGTAATCAGAGAACGCGATTGGTGGACTCGGTGTGTCCAACAACGAGTACAGAAAGAACCACACTATCTGAGGGTGGTGGAAGAGTTAGGATTACGTACTAATGCAGATAATATACTGGTATGTCACGGGAGAATTCAAGGAAAATATCCAATATTCCTTCCAAGAGGCGCAAAGTTTACAGAGAAGTTAGTACAATGAGTACACAGTGAAACGCTCCACGGGGGTAATTTGGTTGCGAAGGTCATTCGTAGCAACTGTTATGGGTGCAAGAGATTCCGTGCGTCAACGATCACTAAACCAGTACCATGTCAACTACCAGAAGAACACACCACGGTTGGAGGGGCGTTTGAAGTCATCGGTACAGATTTTGCTGGTCCTATCAGATATAAGAAGAAAGGCAACAAGGAAGGAAAGGCATATTTGGCTATTTTCTCTTGTAGCCTTTCTCGAGTTGTGCATTTAGAGTTATTACCAAATATGGAAACGGAAACGTTCATACCATGTCTTAAGCGATTTATCGCACGTTGTGGAAGACCACGTATCATTTACTTGGACAATGGTGGAACATTTATTAACTCAATTCAATCCGCCAATATTAATTTCTGGCGTATATGACGTGAAGATTAAATATTAAAGAACTTCGCGAGTATTTGCAGTAGACATGCGAAAATACCACCAAAAAATTCCGCTTGATCGATACTATATATTCAGAAATATTCATATAATTTTATTGTTTCTTGCTCAATTTCAAGCGAATTTCTTACCTTGAAATGATCAATGCGGTGAAATTTATGAAAATGACACATTATCAATTTTGCTGTTGCATTTTGAATGTTCCGCCTGATTCAAATGCTCGTCTTTTTGCTTCATTTCAACGTATAATAACAAATATACCAAAAGAATCGCCATCTTCCATTCTATAGCTTGGAGCAGTCTCGGGAAATTGCAAAATAATCTAAGCCTATTATGGCAATTCTCGTGATCAGAAAGTGTTCGGCCCACTTCGGACACCAAATTCTTGGTAAAGCATTACAGTTTCCTGATAAAGAACTGCAGGAATCACTTCCGGAGTGTTTGTTTACCCTAGATACGGATTTTGATTGGCTTAGGCAGAAAAGCAAATCTTTTAGAGCAATTTTCCTGATTATCGCGCACGGGAACGCATCAGCATTGAAATGTATTGTTTTGTAGTTTTGTTTGAATCGCATTCTGAAGACTTTTTTGCTTTATTTTGCAAACTGATAGTGCTAGTAATGATGGAATGTCTTCGTATGAAGACAAGTATCTCAACCTGGCATTGGGAGTCGTGTCTGGAGTTTCAAGGCAAGTATTTGTATCATTTCTAGACAATTTCAATGTTTTGCCGTTGCCATGGCGTTGTAAATTTATTTGTATTTAGTATAGCTTCACTAGTACGACCAAGTATGTTCTCATATCGCTTTTTTGTGTTGAAATAATCGTTTCATACTGAAATTGACAAATATAAATGGTATTTATTTATATTGTTGACGAAAATTTATGGTGTTTTAGGCATAGAAATCTCTGATTCCTAGGCGAAGTAAAATGAGCCTTGAGCACATGTTTGGTTGTTTGTTACATACATAATAGCCAAGTATTCATACTTATATCTTACTAGTTTGGCTCTTATTATAATTTTAAGTGGCACCATGTCTATAAAAGTTTTTATTCGCACTGATGAATATATTGATCCTGTTCCTATCTGGTGTTCCTGTTTCATAGCCTCAGGGAAGTAGAGTTCTGATGAGTCATGAGAACCCCACTCACCAACCCAGAGGGAAGGTAGGGGGATGAGTAGAGGTAGAGGGAAGCCCAGCCATTAGGACCTAAGGTTTCGAAAGCTCTCTGTCTAGCATCCCCACTAGGCCCCATTGTACATGACGGATATGATGATCCTGACGCTAGGAATGTTCTCCCAGATTTTCCTCCTCACTGACATGTCCGGGATCCATTTCAATCAACTGTGAGCTTGAGTTCATTCGACTCTTTTTTACTAAGGGAATGCTTCAGGAGGTAGTTTCCTGGCCATACCAATACATATACCCACATACAAATAACTCAAAAGTTATCCACATATACTAATAAAGAAGGGTCTTCCAGTCCACCAACCTTGAGAGGTTGATTGCCTTTTAGTATATGCAGGTTTGCTAAAGGTTGACACTGAGATTGAAAATTATTGGAGTGTAAAAACCTTATATCATGGTCTGTGGGCAATAGAAATAATTTCTCGGGTTAGGTACAAAGTGCTTATGGCATTTGTGAATATGGTAGATCCTGTACTAAAGACTACAGGAATAAACTGCATCAACAACTGTACCAGCCGTCACAGAATATTGTTGTACATGACGGATATGATGATCCTGACGCCAGGAATGTTCTCCCAGATTTTGCTCCTCACTGACATGTCCGGGATCCATTTCGATCAACTGTGAGCTTGAGTTCATTCGGCTCAATGAACTGTGAGCTTGAGTTCATTCGACTCTTTTTTACTGAGGGAATGCTTCAGGAGGTAGTTTCCTGGCCATACCAATACATATGCCCACATACAAATAACTCATAAGTTATCCCCATATACTAATAAAAAAGGGTCTTGCAGTCCACCAACCTTGAGAGGTTGATTGCCTTTTAGTATAATATGCAGGTTTGCTAAAGGTCGACAGTGAGATTGAAAATTATTGGAGTGTAAAAACCTTATATCATGGTCTGTGGGCAATAGACATAATTTCGCGGGTTAGGTACAAAGCGCTTATGGCGTTTGTGAATATGGTAGATCCTGTACTAAAGACTACAGCAATAAACTGCATCAACAACTGTACCAGCCATCACAGAATATTGTTGTTGCAGACAAACACACTGTCAAATCAAGAAATAGGTTGGGGGTTAGGCAGTTCATGAAAGCTAGATGACCTACTATGTGGGGAATAAATCTGTGGGTTGCTGCAGACAATCCTAATGGTTATATTGCGACTTTGAAATTTATACAGGAAGAAGTCCAGATATTCATCGCAACAGATTTGGGTATGACGTGGTGATCTGATATCAGTTTGGTTACAGTCTTTGGTCTTTTGTAGTACAATATAAAGAAAATATTTTCACCACATAATCCAATTATGTGCTTTGGCAAACATTACTGCTTTAGCAAACATTACTGCCTTGGAAAACATTACTTTTTTATAACTACTAATTATGATGATGCCAGCCCAACAACACTTGGTCATGCTATTTGCAAATATTTTCATGTTCTAGATTGTGAAAATAATCAATTTCTAAACAAATGAGTAGTGATTATTTCAAATTTGAATAGCATGACCAAATTTTGAGGCTGGTTATGCCACTAATAACTAAAGTCAGTGGTGTAATGATTATCTAAGAATGTATGTAGTAACTGTAGAAATAAAGACATTTTGCTGATCATGATTTGAGTGTTCTTTTGTGGGTATCACAGACTTATTTTGGTGCCATACTATCTTTGGAGAGTAAGAAATATTGGAAATTTGTATTGATAACATGTTGCAGCAATAAAAAAGGACCTTTGATAAAGGTATTTGTTTCATGTGAGCACAAAATGTGAATTTTACTCCACTATCTAGTTTATATAAAAATTCAATAAAAATATTTCTATTTATGCTGCATACATGAAACTTCGGGTACTTGTAGATCATAACCGTCATATTCATAAATTTTTTTGACATATTTGAAATTTGAACCGCGAAATACATTTATGCATAATTGTAACATTTTTTTATATCATAATTTATGCAAATTTATGCGAGTTAATCGTTAACCACGCTCCGGATGAAATTGAAATTGGTATCGTTGGAAAGCAGAAGTCCTCCTCTTTCGAACGATGCAATTTCTGTTTGTGTACGATGTATAGTTTGAGAGATATAAGCGTTTGAAACAACACCACTCGAAATTGCTACTTTTCGACCGGATGGGAATGAGTTAAAGCTTCAAAATAAATGGATTTCACAGCTACGGAAGGATGAACAACTTCGAAGTCTTCTAGAACAGTACGAGATAACATTGGGCGTATACGGGCAGACTGTTCGAGAGGCTTATTGCAATTTGTTAAGTCTGCTATGTACAAGGTAATTAATTGGAATGGTGTTCTTACCTGAACAACAGAGCTTAGTGAAGTATTGTTGGATGTCAAAACGCAAATTAATCATCGACTGCTCAGCTATGTTGAATATGATTTAGAGTTGCCAACTTTGACGCCAGAAACTTTCCTATATCAGCACATGTCTCATTTGCCAGAACAGCAGACGTGGACAATAGCAGAACAAGATATTCGGAAAGGAGCAAAATTTCTTAAATTGTGCAAGGATGGTTTGTGGCATAGATGGCAAAGAGAATATCTGACTGTGCTAAGGGAAAGACACAATCTAACACATAGAGTGAGCAAATTTCGACCGACAGAAGGCGATGTAGTTATCGTGAAAGAAGATTCCAAGAATTGAGGAACTTGGCCCCTAGCAGTGGTTACTAAAACATTCGTTGGTAAAGACGGAGTTATTCGAGGCGTTAACTCAAGACTGGAAAGGGAACAATAGAAAGGCCAGTTCAATTGTTTTATCCACTTGAGTTAGCTTGTGATGCCAAGAGCAACAAGATTTTGACCCAAGCAAGCCGCAGCAGCTAGACGAGAGATAGAAGAAGAAGACGAGATATAAACACTTAACATTAATCATTAACGAGAGCAGTGGATTCTTATTAACGTTGACATTTATTAGCTATTAGTAATATTAAGATTGTATACTGAACTTTATTAGATCATAGAACAATGGACAGTTATATAACATATGCATCTAGTCTAAAATGCATATGGGGGGAGTGTGTTGGAAACACTTGCATGGAAACACCCACCCTAAAATCGGGTTGGGGAATTTTTGGTGGGAGCACATGGGTCGTTGTTGTGAGGAGTCGAAGCGAGTGACTCGGTATCGGGATTAATATGGGATTTATTTTATATTAAACTTCACAGTATTATTTTTCTGGAAAATTATTCAGAGAGACTGTTGGGAGTAATTTCACGATTTCCCATAGTAAATTAATTTTTCTCATTTCCCCAAACAAAAATTGCTTCAAAAAGCTCATTGTATGAAACCATTTTCTGAATATATGTTTTTCAAAATTGAAATCCTGCTTACCCCACTCCTGGCAAACAGCTATATTTTTGAGATCAGTGAGGATGTCCATTTATCACACCCATGAACCATAGTCATGCGCCCTGGTTATTGATGAACTTTAGACTTCGCTAATACGCTTTTCTTTCCCAGGTGTAAATTGCCTGGCGGAATTCACATGCTTGCCACAGGCACAGATTATCTACTAGACCAGGAGGGACACTCCAATGTGTTTTGGCTTGGGAAAAACGTCCGAAATTTTTTACGTGCTATGACGGCATCCTAGAGTGCACACAGCACTTCTGTGTGCACTCTAGGATGGCATCATATGATGGCATATTTTCACGTCAGCACTCATAAAATTTCGGACGAAATATCGTTTGAGTGACACTTCTGGTCTAGTATCTATTCTGTGCCACAGGCTCAAGGCATGAATTGTGAAAGCTAAAAGACTAGCTACCATCGCGTGCGAAAATATTGAGACTTTCGATATTCCATTCTACTTCTGTGATTACTCCCCCCCCCCCCAACACATTCAATGTTGAAGAAAATATTTGACCTGACAATATACCTTTGTATCGTTTGTCCAACATTATCTATGGGGGGAAGGGGGCAATGACGAAGTTGTCTCAATAATTTTTGCACAGGATTGTAGGGTCTTGAATTTACCAATATTTACCCTAACATGTGAATGTTCACGTTTAAAACTCGGCCCAAATTTAATATTAAGGTTAAAGAATGGATAAATTTGCTTCCCACGTTGCGTTATCTTTCTTGAGCTTTCTTCGTTTCATCCTAAGATGCTCGTAATGTTTCATAATGCCACGCAATGATCTTCATAGTCCTTTAAAAACTCTAATATTCAGTCAGTAAATGTGTTTGTGTTAACATTGAGTTCTGCTGTCTAGTAAATCGTTAAATGGTTTCAGAATTTGTTATGCTTCTGTGTTTTTAAAAATCGTGAAAATGAAATTTTGTTTTCGTGACTAAAAATCTAAAAATGATCTTTGTGATTTTGGTACGCCCCCCTCGCCCCCCCCTAAATATACATGCTGCATTGCAGAATCGTGTGGCACAAATGCGGATTTTGATTGGACAATTTGAGTTATAATGTAACTACTTAGCCTGGTTCAATTGGTCAAATTTACCAGGACTGTGGGTAAAAATTCAATTTCTTTGTAAACAAATCATGAGATTACTATTTTGTATTTCAGATCGTTCATGGAGGAAAAACCATGCATGTAATTGATGGAATCAACACTGAGAGAAGCAACTGGATACGATATGTCAATTGCGCACAATGTGAAAATGAACAGAACCGCACTGCTTATCAATATGAAGGAGAAATTTATTATCGAGTGTATAAGGAAATAGAAGCTGGTTCCGAATTATTAGTTTGGTATGGTGATGAATATGGAGAGGAACTGGTACTTTTGATGCTACCGCCGAATCAGGTGGACGGTGATGGGGATCAGGTGGAGATTGGTGAGAAAGGTACGTACAATAGAACATTTTAAATATGTCATAAACAAGTAACCAAATTTCAAATCAAGCATTAATCTCAACTAGTTTGTTTACGCGTAAAGAGAGCCCTGAAACAAAAAATAGGAATTGTTTTGTGGTCGGTTATCACCCAGTTTTAAGTGCTCTCTACGGAATATTTAGGGGTGACAACACATGTTTGTCTGATAGCTTTTTAAGCGTGATGCCAGAACCACCTATGATAAGTTTCCATATATGTAAGGATCATCTACAATCTTTGACAATATAGATTGGGACAATCTAGTTTTCACATGCATTCGGTTGTAATATACCATTTGCTGATACATATTTTCCACCCTCCCTCCCCCCACCCGTTTCAATGTTGGCGCCGCGCATCCAGACATCAGATTTTTGTTGGCCCAACATTGAACTGGGGGAACGGGGGGCGCTATTCCTTTCAAAATATATGAAATTACAGCAGCTGTCCCATAGTTTCTGGCAAAGATTGTCTTGGTGGTGACCAATTGTGTTTGGAATTTGGTAATTAAACGTTTTAGTTTTAAGTTTATACCGCCCAATTACATATATTCCAGTATCGAAGCATATGTGGGCAAGTTTTGGTAGTTTTAGATACTATCCATTCATTCCGGGGGGGGGGGTTATTTTTAACACTGTATATACCAATACAGGTACGTGTGCTACTATAGCTATAATGCTTAATAAGCACATTTATATTCACGTCTAATATCATCCTTGTGAAAAATCAGCTATCTTCCTTGTGAAAAATCCGCGGAAATTTACTCAAAATTTACATGCTGGCTTTGGAATGATGCAAAAGGCCATAATTACGACGAACCTGGAACCGAACTATTCAGAAATAATCTGTTTGTGAGTCGAGTAGGTTTAAATCTCATCTCACAACATATCAAACTGCGGGCAAAGATAAATAAATATGCATTGTTTTCGCCTTTTACAAACTTATACTTGAGAACTGTGGCCGTTTCGAAGCTAAATACCGTTTACAGTATAAGATTTATAGCACAGTTCATAACGCAGCCAGTAGTCAAATTTCATACGTCTCAAATTACACGATGGTCACCGTAACGAATCTCGGTCTAAAACGCTGATTTGCGTTACTATAAATTTTACTTATCTTACATTTTATATACATATGGGAACAAGAAACCATTTTCCTTAATTACAATCGGTTAACTTTGCAGATATCCCTTTTTAAGTTCGTTTTTGAACGAAGCTCACTACAAATCTGTAAATAAATCTATATCTCATTGGCTATTTTATGACAGAAAGGTGAGAATCGTTGCTAGAAAATCATTCGTATCTTAGTCAGTTCGTTACGAAAACTTGTAAAATCGTCCTATCTTGTAAAATATGCTGGACTTTAGATGCCTAGGGTGAATTTGTTTGATATTGTCTGCTATTAAGGCTTTTATGGCGGGTGAGCCCATGAAATTTTGGTGAGATTCGTGGTGAGATTCGTTTCTATATGGATCTCATTGTCACATATACGCGCTTAGTTTACTAACAAGTTGGCTCAGTTGTCAATTTTCTTTAAATAGAGTCCCAATACTGTTACCATGCATGGAATTCAATGAATTGTGACTAAAATATACCACTACAAGCCTTTAAATCTGGTTTTAAATATACGCGATGAAATTCAGCCGGATTTTAGCTATTTCCTAACACACGCATACGGAAGCGTTGTATAACACAATACACGCAAATTATCTGTGTGCAACGAAATTGCTAAAGGACCTAAAAGGTGTGAAGAACTTATGAAAATTGACTGCGTACACAGCTTGATGATGTCTACAAGTTGAATTAAGTTAAATTTAAGAGTAATGGTATTACTTCAACAGACAATCTTTGACAATATAGATTGGGACAATCTAGTTTTCACATGCATTCGGTTGTAGTATACCATTTGCTGATACATATTTTCCACACTCCCTCCCCCCACCCGTTCCAATGTTGGCGCCGCGCATCCAGACATCAGATTTTTGTTGGCCCAACATTGAACTGGGGGAACGGGGGGCGCTATTCCTTTCAAAATATATGAAATTACAGCAGCTGTCCCATAGTTTCTGGCAAAGATTGTCTTGGTGGTGACCAATTGTGTTTGGAATTTGGTAATTAAACGTTTTAGTTTTAAGTTTATACCGCCCAATTACATATATTCCAGTATCGCAGCATATGTGGGCATGTTTTGGTAGTTTTAGATACTATCCATTTATTCCGGGAAGGGGGGGGGGGTTGTGTTCTTTTTAACACTTTACATACCAATACAGGTACGTGTGCTACTAGCTATAATGCTTAATAAGCACATTTATATTCACGTCTAATATCATCATAGCTCTCTTCCTTGTGAAAAATCCGCGGAAATTTACTCAAAAGTTACTTGCTGTCTTTGGAATGATGCAAAAGACTATAATTACGACGAACCTGGAACAGAACTATTCAGAAATAATCAGTTTGTGAGTGGGGTAGGTTTAAACTCATCTCACAACATATTAAACTGCGGGCAAAGACAAATAAATATGCATTGTTTTCGCCTTTTACAAACTTATACTTGAGAACTGTGGCCATTTCCAAGCTTAATTACGTTTACAGTATAAGATTTATAGCACAGTTCATAACGCAGCCAGTAGTCAAATTTCATACGTCTCATATTACACGATGCTCACTAACGAATCTCGGTCTAAAACGCTGATTTGTGTTACTATAAATTTTACTTATCTTACATTTTATATACATATGGGTACAAGAAACCATTTTCCTTCATTACAATCGGTTAACTTTGCAGATATCCCTTTTTAAGTTCGTTTTTGAACGAAGCTCACTACAAATCTGTAAATAAATCTATATCTCATTGGCTATTTTATGACAGAAAGGTGAGAATCATTGCTACAAAATCATTCGTATCTTAGTCAGTTTGTTACGAAAACTTGTAAAATGGTTCTATCTTGTAAGATATGCTGGACTTTAGATGCCTAGGGTGAATTTGTTTGATATTGTCTGCTATTAAGGCTTTTATGGCGTGTGAGCCCATCAAAGTATGGTGAGATTCGTGGTGAGATTCGTTTCTATAAGGATCTATAAGGATAAATAGAGTTCCAATACTGTTACCATGCATGGAATTCAATGAATTGTGACTAAAATATACCACTACAAGCCTTTAAATCTGGTTTTAAATATACGCGATGAAATTCAGCCGGATTTTAGCTATTTCCTAACACACGCATACGCAAGCATTGTATAACACAGTACACGCAAATTATCTGTGTGCAACGAAATTGCTAAAGGACCTAAAAGGTGTGAAGAACTTATGAAAATTGACTGCGTACACAGCTTGATGATGTCTACAAGTCGAATTAAGTTAAATTTAAGAGTAATGGTATTACTTCAACAGACAATCTTTGACAATATAGATTGGGACAATCTAGTTTTCACATGCATTCGGTTGTAATATACCATTTGCTGATACATATTTCCCACCCTCCTTCCCCCCACCCGTTTCAATGTTGGCGCCGCGCATCCAGACATCAGATTTTTGTTGGCCCAACATTGATCTGGGGGAACGGGGGGCGCTATTCCTTTCAAAATAAATTAAATTAGAGCAGCTGTCCCATAGTTTCTGGCAAAGATTGTCTTGGTGGTGATCAATTGTGTTTGGAATTTGGTAATTAAACGTTTTAGTTTTAAGTTTATACCGCCCAATTACATATATTCCAGTATCGAAGCATATGTGGGCAAGTTTTGGTAGTTTTAGATACTATCCATTCATTCCGGGGGGGGGGGTTGTGTTATTTTTAACACTTTACATACCAATACAGGTACGTGTGCTACTAGCTATAATGCTTAATAAGCACATTTATATTCACGTCTAATATCATCATAGCTCTCTTCCTTGTGAAAAATCCGCGGAAATTTACTCAAAAGTTACTTGCTGTCTTTGGAATGACGCAAAAGACCTTAATTACGATGATCCTGGAACAGAACTATTCAGAAATAATCGGTTTGTGAGTGGGGTAGGTTTAAACTCCTCTCACAACATATTAAACTGCGGGGAAGACAAATAAATATGCATTGTTTTCGCCTTTTACAAACTTATACTTGAGAACTGTGGCCGTTTCCAAGCTAAATTACGTTTACGGTATAAGATTTATAGTACAGTTCATAACGCAGCCAGTAGTCAAATTTCATACGTCTCATATTACACGATGCTCACTAACGAATCTCGGTCTAAAACGCTGATTTGCGTTACTATAAATTTTACTTATCTTACATTTTATATACATATGGGTACAAGAAACCATTTTCCTTAAATACAATCGGTTAACTTTGCACATATCCCTTTTTAAGTTCGTTTTTGAACGAAGCTCACTACAAATCTGTAAATAAATCTATATCTCATTGGCTATTTTATGACAGAAATGTGAGAATCGTTGCTAGAAAATCATTCGTATTTTAGTCAGTTCGTTACGAAAACTTGTAAAATCGTCCTATCTTGTAAAATATGCTGGACTTTAGATGCCTAGGGTGAATTTGTTTGATATTGTCTGCTATTAAGGCTTTTATGGCGTGTGAGCCCATCAAAATATGATGAGATTCGTGGTGAGATTCGTTTCTATTTGGCTCAGTTGCCAATTTTCTTTAAATAGAGTTCCAATACTGTTACTATCCATGGAATTCAATGAATTGTGACTAAAATATACCACTACAAGCCTTTAAATCTGGTTTTAAATATACGCGATGAAATTCAGCTGGATTTTAGCTATTTCCTAACACACGCATACGCAAGCATTGTATAACACAGTACACGCAAATTATCTGTGTGCAACGAAATTGCTAAAGGACCTAAAAGGTGTGAAGAACTTATGAAAATTGACTGCGTACACAGCTTGATGATGTCTACAAGTACATTTAAGAGTAATGGTATTACTTCAACAGACAATCTTTGACAATATAGATTGGGACAATCTAGTTTTCACATGCATTCGGTTGTAGTATACCATTTGCTGATACATATTTCCCACCCTCCTTCCCCCCACCCGTTTCAATGTTGGCGCCGCGCATCCAGACATCAGATTTTTGTTGGCCCAACATTGATCTGGGGGAACGGGGGGCGCTATTCCTTTCAAAATAAATTAAATTACAGCAGCTGTCCCGTAGTTTCTGGCAAAGATTGTAGTAAAAAGTAGCAAGATTTAAACCATTTTAGTCATAAGTAATGTGAAAATATTTCCTGTAGGTAAAACTATAGTTTTTTTGTCTAAGCCCTAGAGAATTTCGAAGCGAACGACTGCAAGAGACCTTGGTTTTACTCAATAACTTGGTGCGCCTTGTTGGAAATGTAACACAATATCTTAAACTTAGTCAAGTTGAAGTCCTTTGTCGTTTGGTGGAGTGTTTAATTACTGCTATCGACCTTCAAAAGAAAGGAATTGATATTGAATATAAATCTACGTTATTGGAACACGAAAATGATCCCGGTGAGAACCTTTCCACACCATACCAATTGGCAGATATCCCGGAAATGTCACCACTTTTCAAAGAGCAGTTGGCGCTTGTTGAAAAGTTTATGAATGCGAGACTTTCTAAGTCCTTTGCAGAATGGAACCTGGAATTGCTGGTCAGTAAGACATACATAATTTAGTAGCTATATGTAGTGGTACATGACGTGTATACTTAAGAAACATTGTTAAGAAACATTATTTTTTAAAAATATTTACTTGTAGGTGGTACCAAAATTATTTGCATTATTATTTGTCTCATAGAATGAAATCCAGCTATATTTCAGCAAATAACCCATGCTTTAATGCATCTATCAGATACTGGAGTTTTACTCTATGAACAACTAATTATTACTGTGTGTGTGTCCTTTTTCTTTTTTCTTTTGAGAATATGTGCGATGTATTTTGGCTCTGTTACCTAATTAAGCTCTTCTTATACCATTTGTGAAGAGTAATTCTGATTTTATGTTTCTCTTGTGTAGGCTTGGACCGAACTACTATCATTGTCAGCCCCGGAGATCTTCTATAAACCATGGCACAGTAAATTTATCACTAAATTTCAGAGTAGAATACGCAAGGTAAATTAATTGTACATTTAATATTGTTTTATTTATGCACGCATCAAGCACATAGTCTTCTGATGCCATATGAGCATAATCTTTTGCTGGCTGATAGTAACTTGTGAAACGGAGCTTGTGAAGAAATTACTCCTGATAACTGTATTTGTCCGATTATTTACGTTTTTGGTGCAATCCACATGATCACACAGACGAAATGTTGTTATCCAATTTTAGGTGCCAGCTCTCCGTCAGATTGATTTATTTTCTTTAACTGACCAACAAAAATGTAATCCAGATATTGCAAAATGTTTAAATGACGCTGCTTTCGAAGCTGTGGAAAAAGTTGTAAAAGTAAGTATATGGAGTTAGTTTGTTAGGGAAAAAAATAAAAAAAACACAGTAGGGCTTAATGAGCTACCTCACACACTCAAGAAATGTATTTTGGAAGGCCTGACCTGGCCTTTTAAAATTTTTAAACCCCCCCTCTCAAAACAACCTCCCATAAAACAATATTAAATGTACAAGTCAAAGTCCCTTTTCCATAGAATATAAGCAAAACATTGGAAGAGAAATGGAATTTAGAAGGGAGATTTGATATTCTAGTAACTGAAATTTACTTTGCATGTGACTCTTATGTCGTCTTTTATCTTCAAATGATTTAATGTTTTTTTTAAAAATGTTAAACATTATGTTGTAAATACCTTAGATTTTATAAATTTCCCAGGGGATAGCACCTAAAGATTTGAGTTGTTGGATATCTAGGTTAAACAAGTTAGTGACCGAGTTGTGCTATTTACATATTATACAGGGTGTATAAAAAAAAGGTAATCGAACTTCAGCGCGCTATTGTATCCGAATTACTCTGCGTACGAACGAGATTTTAACACATTCGGAAAGGTCATGCTTTTAGCTGTTGAATGATACCTTCTTCATGCCAAATGGATAAAAAATAAGCAAATACGAATCCGATAAAAAATGTTAATCAGAATCGCATATTTTCACCGTTGAGAGTTGGGTCTAAAAGCATTGAAAATAAACTTCTCTCTAGTACTTAAGTTGATGAATTTCACTTCATAAACTACGCACATATTCATAATTATTATTAAGTAGGAATAAATCTTAGCTAAGCTACGACACGTTAGTGATTAATTGCTTTTTCTTTTGTTATGCATTGATCGATACTAGGATATATTTTGTTGGATGCACAACAAACCCCAAGGAATCAAACAATACAATAGAATCAATCACATTTGCTATGCATTGATTATAAGTTTTTCCTTGTAAGTAACACTTCCCTTGCGACTTCTTTGTGACATGGTCTGATGACATGATAGAATAGAGAGATATAGCGCGTTGTTTTTCTAAAGTGGAAAATTCTATAATGACGTCAACAATTGAGATAAAACGTTATAGAACACGAGCAATGACGTGGGATGCGAGTTCCGCGACCTGCGCGTAAAAATCGTCACCCAGTTTTGTTCGCGATTCTTGAGCAGAGTTTTGTGATAACTATATCGACGTGCACAAAGGTGAAAAAATATGGTTTTGATCGGCAATAAAAAATCGGTTCTCAACTTAATTTCTTGCTTTGGCCCTTCTTTTGCCCGCCCCCAAATTAGTTAGATTCCAGCCTCCTCACATGAAAAAGCGCTGAAATATAAAAGAAGGGCCAAGGCTGGGAAATTATATAAAGTTGAAAACAAACGAGTTTGCGGTACAGCATGAATTTTACTGTATTTTTTTTTTACTTTTCAAGGGAGCAGTTCTAGTGCTAAGAAGGAATTAACCAAAGACGAAGGCTGTGCTATCATGATGACCCGGGCAGAATCTTGCCTTGATAATCTGATAAATTCTGTCGAGAAGGGGAAGTTACAGTTACCACACTCAAGTTCTTAGACGAACATTCCATTTACAATCAATATTTAAAGCTGGGTCAGATACACCAGGCCAACCAAAAAGTTTCAACATCAATAAAAGACTCTTTTTCACAACGACTTTCTGAACTGAAGGCTTTTCTCAGATCAAGAGACCATCTGGAATGTTTTATTCACTTAAGCAACATCTTCAAGTCAGGTATATCAGTCATCAATCTATTTTCAGAGTTATCCAAATAATATCTATTTGCAAGAGTTGCAATATATATATAGGCGTTACTTCATAGTTATGCCTAAAGGGATTAATTATGGGATGGCGATTTTCAAAATATTTCTTTTCCTCACGTGCATTTTTAACTGTCGATCGACTATAGATTCTTATTGAAAATCGATGAAAAATCAGTTGAGTATTGACAGTTTGATAAAGCTATATACTAGAAAATACATGCATGCAGAAACCTTCGCCTTGCTGACAAATCCATTGTATTTTCCGAACATGAAGTATCTAAAGTAGTTGTCATGGTAACACGATAATTTTTAAGAATATTCTTTATACAAATGAAAAATCGCCTAAAAATATCACTTTTAATTACAAAATTATCAATTTCCCAAGATATATATGTTAGTGTGTTATTATACGTAATATAAGCTTCAATTTCAGGTAAAATTCAACCACAAACGCTTCGCAAAACGTTTTAAAGTGTTCTTTATAAAACTGACTAAACTGCCCACTTTAAGATTAAATGGCTTTATCGATAAACTTTGAGTTAGCAATAAAATGATTTCAAATTCTCGCTTGCAAATGACTTCGCTTTCTTTTTTATTTAAAAAATTCAATATAATAAAAAAGGGAATCAATATTATTAAAGATACACTGAAATTATATGCTGTCTTGTAATAGTTGTTTCATATACGCAAAGGCTGTCGGGTTTTAAAGTCATTATAGAATCAAGGCTCGGGGATTAAACTGTAAGCTATACGCAAGAAGATTTTTTAATTTAATACTAGACTAGAAAATACATGCATGCAGAAACCCTCGCCTTGCCGACAAAACCATTGTATTTTCCGAACATGAAGTATCTAAAGTAGTTGTCATGGTAACACGATAATTTTTTAAGAATGTTCTTAGTTTCTTACACAACCTCGATCCCAGGGCCTTTCGAGGGAGGGGAAAGGCCCTGGCGTCGGCCGGTTAATTCTGTCTTGTGATTGGCTTGTGAATTTTTGAAAATTTATGCAACTATGAGAATAATTACCTAAATTTATCCCAATTTGAATTTTATTATACATATTCATGATGGCGGACAAAGGGGTTACAAAGGTCACACCGACTAAAATTACAACTAGAAACCCAGTTTGTAGACTCTGTGGTGGTTGTCAAGACACACGTCATATGGTACGCATATTTAGCAAAACTGGTACATCAAAAAATCTTTGTGTGAAGATAAAGAAACTGTGCGGTGTTTTAATTAGGCACAGAGGTGAAAATATGCGATTTTGACTAACATTTTTGATC